AGAGATTGTTGGACCCCCTGGAACTGGAGTTCAGAGAGTTGTTAGCTGCCATGTGGGTTCTGGGATTCGAACCCGGGTCTTTTGCAAGAACAGCCAGTGTTCTTAACCACTGAGCCATCTCTCCAGCCCCAATTTAGAGAATATTTTTAGAAAATTGGCTAGGAATTCTTAAGAAAGACTCACTCAAAAAGGATAAGTCATTTGGGAAGAAAATTTAAATTCGACTACATACAAATAAACATTTTGTAAATGTCATAATTTATATTAAAAGACCCACAGACTAGAAATAAGTTATGAAATGTCTATAGCAATTCACATTTGGAAATCAAACATTAGACTTCTCCAAATAAACATGAGAGGTAAAAAATAGTATAACAGAGAAAGGGACAAAAGCCCAAATAGGCAACTTATGTAATAGGAAACTCAATTAGCCAATAAATGCTTGCAAACACAAATGTTAAACACTTGCAAAGAGGCTCAATAGCTCTAGAAATCAGTTGATATAATCAAAATGGCAACAAGAAGCCACATCATACCCACATGACTGACCAAAGTACAAAGTCTCACAGACTAAGAGCAGGCAGGCAAGACTGTAGACAGCTGGGCACAGAGCTTGATGTAGGCATCATCTGTAGAGGAATGTGGTTCTGTGATACAGGGGGCTTCCAATGTGGATGAAAATGGATGAGATTAAATAAATAATGTGCCCTACAGCTGTCAGTCCACACCTGGAGAACCCTTTTGTCCAGTCCTAGGAGCCCAGATGTTCCCAGCAGAAATATTTGTAACTTAAAATCACAAACCATTAAGTCAACAGTTAGGAGATAGGATAAAAATATTCCACCACACTGTGGAATATTATACACCAGAAATATAACTAAGCTATAACATTGGGTCAAACATGTACCAGTACAAGACCTCCACAGGAAGAGGGTCTGGCTGGCCCTAAGTGGCCCCAGACCAAGAGCTGAGGCCTCTGTGGGGACCATCCAAGAGGGAGGTGGATTTGGGCTGAAAGTGAAGAGTTTTGTAAGAGGCCCAGGCTGACTAGGGATGGCTAAGGGAAAGAGCTTCCTGTTGCTGGGGGTATATGAGCTGGGTCTCCTCAGGGCAGTGAGCCAGGCATTGTTTATCAGCTGTACAAGGATGGGGTTGGGTACAGATGGCCTCACACTCTGCACATCTGGAGGCCTTGATGTTCTGTGATGCAGTGAGTCCTCAGAGGTCCAAAGAAGGACTAAATAAATCACCAAATGACATGTGTGTGATGGAATGTTGCTCAGGAATCTAAGATGACCACAGCACACTCAGGAGCATGGACAGAACTGCCTAGCAGGAGAGATGCCATGACTCCATTTATGACAGATTCTAGAACATCACACAGCAACACGGAGTGGCAGGGCACAGAGCGGTGGGATGCAGGTCAGAGCTTGGTGAGTGTTGGGTGGCGCTGGTTGGGGAGGCTGCTGTGCAAGGGGCCCAGGAAACTTTCGAAGGATGGGTTGGTGGGGTCTGTGGTGGGCTCAGATTTCATGGGTGTGCACAGCTGTGCAAAACAAAGGACTCTACACTGGAAGTGGAGACAATTCACTGTGCATTAACTCATTCCTGGACACAGACCCTTCAGGGAAGAAGGCAGGAAAGAGTGGAGGAACAAGAAAAGGTGCAAAGGGCTAGGCTGCAGGTCAGGACAGCTGCATCACAACTTCAGGCCCGTTTACCCATCTGTGAACTAGAGAAGGAGACTCAGACTTGTGCAATGAAGTGACAGACAAGTTAGTGGATGTCTGTGTGCCTCAGTCTCCTCATCTATAAGATGGGGAGGGGAGGAGCCCTGGAAGCCTGCACTGGAGGTAGGACCAATAGAGGCCATCCTGGCTTTGTGTCCACCTGGCAACTGTCATCCAATTCTCTCTCTCAACCTCCCTGTTAGTTTTTCATTGCTATAACAAAATACCCCAGATAAACAACTTAAAGGAAAAAAGTTCCTCTGGCTCCAGGTTTTGAAGGTTTTAATCCAGGGTCGGCAGTTTCATTGCCTGAGGAACTGTGGAGAAGCCAAGCCTAATAGCAGGAGGATGTGGTGAGGAAAACTGCTCACCTCATGGCAGCAGGGAAGCTGAGAGACAGACAGGCAGGGTGGGGACAAGACATGCCCCACAAGGACACACTCCCAAGGATGAACTTCTTCTACTCAGACCCACCTTGTAACTTCTATCACATCCCACTAATGCTGTCAAAGTATGAATCCAGCCTTGGGGTAACCTACTGATAAAATCAGGGGCCTTCCCCAGAGCCCCAGGAAACTAGGCTTGAAAACAGGAGTCTCCGGCGTGCACTTCAGAGTCAAGCCACAACAACCCCCACCTGGCTCTCTTTCCATCCCTGGCCTGTCCACACGGTACCTGGGCCACCTGCACACTGGGGACATTCTAAGAAAGTGGTTCAGGGTTCCTGTCTATTCCCATTGTGGGACCCACATTCTCCAGGGGCCGGTGGCTTTCTGGTTTTCCTCTTTGAGTGTCCATTGAGGTCACTACCAAACCGGAGCTAGGTCTCAGGTGGTGTATAGTCATGCATGCAGAATGAAGGGGAAGGCGACAGTCTAAGCTGGGGTGGGGTCTTGCTTATGCCACCCTGGAGGTGTACCTTTCTTAGATTGGTCAGTAGGTGCCATCTTAGGGTTGTATGTCCATTACATGGTTGGGCAGGTTGTGTACTACATAAAGAAGTTGTGTCCTTAGGGTTGAATGAAGGATAAAACTTCCAACCCTTTTCTTTGGGACTGGGGATGGGGGACTCATCACCATGTGAATTCATACATGCTAAGCATGTGTCATATGACTGAATTCCGCTTCTAGCTCCTTCTTTCCTTTTAAAATAAACTTTTCCTTCTGGAATAATTTCATATTTACAGAAAAACTGTAAAGATGGCTCAGCGGGTAAAATAAGTTTTGCACAAGCCTGAAGACTGAGTTCAATGCTTGGAACCCACATCAAAGTAGAGGGAGAGAACCATCTCCACAAAGCTGTCCTCTGACCCCCATGCATGCACACATAGTATAACACACAATAATAATAACTTTTTAAAAAGAGAAAAGAAAAATAGAAAAGTTACTAAGAGAGTTGACAGGCGTTCTGCAACCTTCCCCCTATTTTTTTTTTTTTTCGGAGCTGAGGACCGAACCCAGGGCCTTGTGCTTGCTAAGGCGGTCTGCAACCTTCCCCCTATTTTTTTTTTTTTTTTTCGGAGCTGAGGACCGAACCCAGGGCCTTGTGCTTGCTAGGCAAGCGCTCTACCACTGAGCTAAATCCCCAACCCCTCTTCCCCCTGTTTTAGCCTCATGTATGTGACCAGGGTACATATCTAGATGTGGGGTGCCAGCACTCGCACCCCATTCCTTCTTGATGTGAGAGCTTGGGTTTCTTCTTTCCCTCTGCCCGCCCTCTGCTGCTGAGGCTCCCGTGGTGTGGCTTTAGGGCATCTTGTTTTGATTGACACAGGGGTTACCCTACGGCTTAGCAGTGACTGGAGAAGAATGTGCAGTGAGCGGGGTATCCCTAGGGAAGTCTTAGGTGACCTTGGAGAGAAGAGGCCCCAGGCTATTCATGGGCAGTCCTGGCCTCTCTGACCTGGATTGGAACCTCTGCCCAGAAGATTTATATCCCAGTGCAGCCTGTACCAGTTTGTAGGTAACGTTTTCTGGTTTGGTTTGGTTTTCCTGATAAGCTCTTACTATGTAGTTCTGGTTGACCTGAAACTCACTCTGTAGACAAGATTCGAACTCAAAGCAATCCTGTTGCCTCAGCCTTCTGAGTACTTGGATTACAGGTATGAGCTACTATGACTGGGCTGGCTGTGGGTAGGTGTTGATAGTTGACCCCACCATGTCCCTTCCCTCTCCTCCTCCATCTCCCTTATACTTCCTCCTTCTCCCCCCTCTTCCCCTTCCTTCTCCTTCCTCTCCTCCTCTTCCTTCTCGTCTTCCTCCTCCTCCTCCTCTTCTTCCTGCCCCTCTCCCCTTTCTTCCCCTTCCTCTCTCTCCAGGCCCCCTCCAGACACCATGTTTCAAGTGGTATCTGTACTGTGTGGTCCCCAGCTCTCCCTGTTGGTGATTCAGGTCGCTCTCTGTAGCTTTCCTGTGGCCTCAGGAGCCTCCTGCCTTGTGCACAGCACCTGTGATGTGGTCTTGCCTTCTCTACAAACTGCAGACTCTAGGACAGCTGAGCCTCCTGCATTTTGGAGCCACCAGTTCCCAACCTGGCACACAGTAGGCACTCATTAAGTGCTTATACATAGGATTTAGGCCAACTGAATTCTTGGAGGCTGCATGTTCTTGGAGAGAATTCTGGCCCTTTCCTAGGGCAGGAAGTGAATCTCCCAACCCCAGGGTCCTGCTGGAGATCAGGGCAGGTGCCTATGGGTGACCAGGGCCCAGCCCAGCACCTGAGGGGCCCCAGCTCCTCTGTCAGACCGCATGCTCCGCCCCCTGCAAGTCCGTAGGGGCAGCAGCTTGGGTAAGTTCCCCTTCCGTTTCCTCCACCTCCTGAGCCTGCGGTGCTGCTGTTCCTCACTGCTGGGGCACCTCGCCAGCCGCTCCACACCCTGGTGCCCACAACAACGCTCCTGGCCCCCAACTGTCACAGCCGGCCGCTAGGCCTTGGATGCGATGCAGGCCATCAAGTGTGTGGTGGTGGGCGATGGGTAGGTACCTGGCTGAGTTGCCTCACAGACCCCTACTGGGATGTCCCTGAGACCCTCCCTGTACCCTCTGTACAGGTGTAGGAGCCCCCAGAAGGTGCTGGGGATAGTCACTTCCTCTCCTAGGGCCTACAGGGAGCAGAGGGGATACTCAGAGTGGACCAAGTTGTCTGTCCTCAGCCCACCCCACCCCGGAAACCATCTGGGTGGCGGGCCTAGGGCTGTGGGTGGGGTACCAGGCTGCTTGCCTGCATCCTGAGAGCTGGGACAGGGCACCCATTCTGTGGGAACAGGTGTGAGGTGGGGAACAAGCAACTTGGCCTTTGTCCCTGGCTTGATTTGGGCTCTAGTGGCCAGCTCCATAAAGCTAGGGGTGTGTGAAGAATCTCAGCTCTCTCTGACTCAGTCCCCTATCTGGGGCAAGGGGTATTCTGGGGTCGATTGAGACAGGTGCCAAGGCTGTCCTGCTTATATTGTATGGCTCTACACCATGGCGTGGGATGTAAAGGGATGTTGGTGAGGAGCAGGGGTATCACTGACAGTCAGGGTGAGGGAGGGAGGAAGGCAAGATGGGATTATGGGAACTCAGCTGAGGGCTGGTCTCTGTGGTCTTATCTCTGGGATCACAGGTTGTCATGGTCTGCTGCCTCAGTTTCCTCATGTGCGATGAGTCAGTTTCCCATGCATGCTCACACATTAGGGAGCACCCCCTAAGTACATCCTGGGGTCCCCCATGTCCATCTCAGTCTGTTATAGCTGCCCAGGTTCCATTCAGCAGGGGAGCAGTCAAGGCTTTGAGATCTGTCTTGGCCTGAGTCCCAGGATATGACTTTAGCTCTGTGGGTCTCACTGGGTAGAGCTTTACCCACAGCCTCAGCTGACTCTGCTGCTGGGGGAAGGGGGGCTGCCAGTCAGTTGTTATCTGTCACCTCTGCCCTTGCCAGCGGCTCGCCCTGCTCACTTCTGCTTTGTGTCTGATGGAGGGGAGTCGGGGGGGGGCGCGGAAGTCAACGGTAACGTTCCACTCATTCAAAGTTACCTTGGTGGCAGGCCAGTTTTGGGGGCAGGGGAAGGGGGTGGGGCAGCATCCTGGAGTGGGAAGTGACTTGAAGGAGCAGAGCTGGGGAAGGCCCTGAGCTGTCCCCCTGTCTTCTTAGCTTCCTTCTGGATGACCTGTGTGACCTCCCAGCCTGGCAAGCCATAGAGGCACTGTGTGTGGTCACTGGGTCACTCTGGTTGATCCTCCCACCAAGCCTACTATCTTGGAGTCCATTTCACAGGTGGGAAGACTGAAGTTCAGAGTGCACGGGATTCAAACACTGGTCTCTCTGGCTCTATTAGGATTCAGGTGCTCCCTTACAGTCATTGGTTGCAGTGGCACTGGGTTGTCTTAAAGGTATCATCTGGTTCACTCTTCAGCACATCCCTGGGAAGATGACTAATCCCTGCAGGAATTTAGGTGTCTTGTATAAGGTTGTGCAGAAGGGAGCTGGTACAGTTAGGATCCAAGACTATGGACAGCCTTGCCCAGGCTCCAGAGTCTTCCCTTTGGCTCTTTACATCTTTGCCTATCACCTGCATCCAATGTACTGGCGACAAGGATGGATTCCCAGTTCTGCCCAAAGCCATAGCTAGGACAAAAGTAAGGACTTTTACAGACTTGGCAGGGGGTTGAGAACACTGACATGGGGTGTCTGGGATCAGGAGACTCAGAGCCTGAGCTCCTGTCTTCCCCTTCTTTAAGGCACAGCCCGTGACCTTAGTCTCTCCTGCTGTCTTTCAGAGCCGTGGGCAAGACCTGCCTCCTCATCAGCTATACCACCAACGCCTTTCCTGGAGAATACATCCCTACTGTGTGAGTTCCACCTGCTCCGGGCGCTGCTTGGAGGCCGGCCCCTTTGAGCACTCGGTATCAGTGGGGTCCAAGCAAGTCTTCAGCTTAGGGAAGTTGGCCCATGATCCCACTGGCGATACAGCAACCTCTGCTAGGAAAGCTGAGGCCCCAGACGGAAGAGAGAAAATGGAAAGGGAGGTGGGGCTTCAAACTGGCCAGGGGCAGGAAGGGGGGCACAAGTGGGATGTGGAGGTGAGGGAAGAAGAGGATGAGGAGAGGGAGAAGGAGGAAGGAGAGGAGAAGGAGAATTCCAGCAGCCTAGACATCAGTAGAGTTTGGGGGCACAGTGCCCTGGACGTGGTGTGTTGCGGACACAGTGTGCTGGGAATGGGGGCAGTACCATTTGCAGTCCCTGGGAGGCCCGCCCTCTGGTACAGGATAGAGTCACCAGCTGCCATGTGATCTAGAGAGAGAAGTCTGCAGGTGTCAGAAGAATGATTCAGGGGCCCAGCCTCAGTGTGTCCCATCACTCACAGGGCAGCTCTCCAGCTCCCTGAACAGCTCTTAGGCTATTTAGGGTCTTCCTCAGCTTCCCCTTCTAGAAGCATTACTCACCCACCACTTTGCTTCTTAGACCAATGCTCCTCAGGCAGGCCTGCCACAGGGTCTTTGCTCCAGCTCTTGCCCAGCCTGCCATTTCCCTCTCATCCTCCTGTCTCTGTCCCCCAGACCAATGCCTGGCACGCTTTCCTCAAGAAAGTCTTTTGATCCAGCCTAAAGTGCTGCAACTCTCGAAAGGAACTCTGTCAGACCTCTCCCAAGACCATGAGCCCACAGAGGGCAGGAAGTCATGCGATTCTCTTGGGGTGTCCACACTGTCTCTGCAGGGTGTTTCACACGTGATATAATATACACACGGCCTTAATACATGATGCATGTGCTTTGAGATGATGAGGCCCAGAACAGGATCTCACAGGTCTATGTGGATTAGCTCCTCAAGGAAAGTGGGTGCTGCAATGTCCAGGAGACTCCCAGCAGCTAAGGGGCTTGGCCCTCTGGGACATATAGCCTGTCTGGTTTCAGAGCCCAGAGCCATAATAGAACCTTGCTAAGGCCCTCTTCATCTTCATGGAACCTCTCCCTGGAACAGGAAAGAGGGGATATGCAGAGGGACAGTGCCCAGGGCCCAAAGTCTGGCACAAGAGGAGATGCCAACCCTCTAGTGCCAAACCCAGGCTCCACCCCAGCCCCTGGGCCTGAACCTCTTGGCCCAGTGTGGCTGTGTGGGGCTCCTTCTTTGGGACAGGAAATTCAGTTGCCCCTGATACCCTGGCCCAGATAGGGGGCATCCAGCTAGGGGCAGCCAGAGGGGCTTGGGCAGGGCACTGGAGCTGCTTTCTGTCCAGCTGTGTCTTAGTGTGAGTGAGGACCCCTGTACCTGCCCTGCTTGGCAAAATGGGAATGACCATTCCTGCCATTGTCCACTGGCCATCAGGCCTGTCCCCTGAACCTCTTGGCCCAGTGTGGCTGTGTGGGGCTCCTTCTTTGAGGACCCCTGTACCTGCCCTGCTTAGCAAAATGGGAATGACCATTCCTGCCATTGTCCACTGGCCATCAGGCCTGTCAGGGATCTGAAAGTCAGAAAGAGCTGGAACTAGACGTGAGCAGGAGCTTCTGGCTAAAAGCCACTGTCACCAGGACACTCTGTTGTCCCTGAGTCAAGATCTTATCCTGTCTTTGTCTCCGCTGGCTGGACTGGTGAACCCACTTGCTGAAGGACTTCAAAGTCATCTCTTCCCCTCTGAGCCTAGGAGCCTCAGTTTCCATTTCTACAGTTGAGAGTTCTGGGCTGGGAGACGCCAGCCTTACTAGGACACCTCGCCTTGCACAGAGTGGAGCCTGAGGCTAGAGACTTTCAGTGTCTGGAGGACTCAGACTGACAGGCTGTGGGGGCTGGCCAGTCAATCATGGTGCTGGGGACCTGTGGAGCTGCCCTCTGATTGGCTGTCCCATACTGTCATCAGCATCTCTTAGAGGCGGTTCCCTTGCCTGGTTGTGTAGGTGGTAGCTGGTGTCCTGATGGCTGATGGGATTTCCTCTGTTGAGAGGAGCCTGTGGGGCCCACGAGGTCAAAACACTTTCTCAGGTGGGGCACTGACACTACTTCAGGGTGGTTCTGTGCTGGGGGTTTAGGGGCACAGAGTCATGGCAGCAGCCTCCTGCTTTGGGGGGCCTGGGACAGTGGCTCTCCTTCTGTCTCCCTTCTGTGTCCAACTGGAGCACAAGTGAACTTAAATTTTATTTTATTTATTACTTTACTTTTTATGTGTATGCCTGCATGTATGTAAGTGCACCTGTGCCGTGCAATGCCCGAGGAGGACAGAAGAGGGCGTTGGGTCCCCTGGAACTGGAGTTATGGACGGTTGCTAACTGCCATGTGGGTGCTGGGATTTGAACCTAGGTCTTCTGAAAGAACAGTCAGTATTCTTAACCACTGAGCCATCTCTCCTTATTTTTATTTTTTAGTTTTGAAGTAGGGTATCACATTATAGTCTTGGCTGGCCTGGAACTCACTATGTAGCCCAGGCTAGTCTACAACTTGCAGCAATCCTCCTGCCTCTGTCTCCACAGCTAGGTTCCAGATGGATTTTTATTTTTGCTTTTTTTTTTTTTTAAAGACAAGGTCTAATAACAGCTTGGGTTGGCCTCAAATGCATTAAGTAGATGAGGATGACCATGAACACCTGATCCTCCTGCCTCCACCACAGGAATGTCGAGATTACAGATGCACCTTCACATCTGGTTCTGTTTGGTGATGGGGATGGAACCCAGGGTTTTGTGCATGCTAGGCAAGCCCTCTACTGAGGGAGCAAATCTCCAGCCCCTGGGTGAACTATGAAAGGTCTGGTGGCGCTTGTCTTTAATCCCAGGCCAAGGGAGGCAGAGGCAGGTAGATCTCTGTGAGGTCAAGGCCAGCCTGGATCACATACTAATTTCTAGGTGGTCTAGGACTAGGGAGCCCCTGTCAAAAAAAAAAAAAAAAAAAAAAAAAAATTCAGGGCTGGAGAGATGGCTCAGTGGTTAAGAGTACTGGTGGCTCTTGCA